TACACCTATCAGACGTAGATTAGATCTTTTCACATAGTCCCACATTTCTTGAAGATTTTGTTCATTCCTTTTTGCGCTTTTTTCTCTGTTCTTGCCTTCTCTTTTTATTTCATTGAGTTGATCTTCGACCTCTGATATCCTTTCTTCTGCTTGGTCAATTTGGCTGTTGAAGCTTGTGCATGCTTCACGAAGTTCTCGTGTTGCGTTTTTCAGCTCCATCAATTCACTTACACTCCTCTCTATGCTGTCCATTCTCGTCAGCATTTCGTCCAATCTTTTTTCAAGGTTCCTATTTTCTTTGCGATGGGTTAGAACATGTTCTTTTAGCTCATTGTAGTTTCTTACTACCCACCTTCTGAAGTCTGATTCTGTCATTTCATCACCCTCCTTCTCCATCCGGTCTGGTTCCCTTGCTGGTGAGGAGTTGTGATCACTTTTAGGAGGAGAGGTGTTCTGGTTTCGGGAGTTTTCATCCTTTTTACGCTGGTTTCTTCCCATTTTTGTGGGTTTATCCACCTGTTGTCTGTCTCTGTCCCAGGGAGTTGGAGCTTTATGAGTTTCCGTTGCACTACTGCCTTTTTTGATTTTTCTTTCAGGTCGGACCCACCCAGCTAGCAGCAGGCCTAGCCTCTGCCTGCCCGCAGGGGCTTTGCTGAGCTGCTGTGGGCTCCGCCCAGCTGCCCTGAGCTCTTCCCTGTAGTCCTTTTTACATGGGCGTAGTTAGAACTGTCTGGGCAATGGTGGCCCCGCCTCTGTTATGGCGGACTCTCTCTGTTGTGGCAGGTTGCCTCGGCAACGGCGGGTTGCCTCGGCAACGGCAGCCTTCCTAGGTAGTGGTGGCGAGTCTCAGTAATGGCAGAAGCCCCTCCCCCACGGAGCGGGACCCTCCCGGTTCAGCTGTGCTTGGTTTGAAGGGCTCAACCCAGAGGGTTTCCAATTACTGTTTTTGTTTTGGTTGTTGTTGGGGGTGGAGGGGTGGGACCAACTGAGCCTGATCACCTGGCTCCCTGACTCAGAGTCTTTTCTTTTAAGTTGAACGACCCCGCGTTCGGGTCGCTTGTTGAAAAGGCGCCGGGATCTCCCGTGCTGCGACTCACGGAGTCGGCTCGAACCGCGGCGCCGGCTCCTGGCGGATTCTTTGCCTAGGAATCTCCTGGCCTGACTCGCCATTTCAGATGAATGGGCTATTCCGCCGTCTCAGGGCTCTGCTCGCCAGCTAAGAGGGCTCCCAGACCAGTGGCTTTTGTACGGAGAACCGCAGCAACAGGGAGTGGTCACAGCAGCCGCGTGGGCGGAATCAGCCCCGCGGGGGCCAAAACAGCCGCACCGGCTGGGACTGCGACGCTGGCGACCCCTCTGCCTGGGCATCTCCCGGTCTGTGGGCAATAAGAGTTCGTCTGGAAATGCGGCGTCCACTCACCCTCTGCACTTTCACTGGGAGCTGAAGTCCTGAGCTGTTCCTAGGCGGCCATCTTCCCAGCATTCCAGACACTTCTTAAAAGAAGACATTTATGCAGCCAACAAACATATGGAAAAAAGCTTATCATCACTGATCATTAGAGAAATGCAAATCAAAACCACAATGAGGTGCTATCTCAGCCAGTTAGAATGGCTCTCATTAATAAGTCAGGAAACAACAGATGCTGGAGAGGATATGGAGAAATAGGAACACTTTTACAGTGTTGGTGGGGGTATAAATTAGTATAATCACGTTAGAGGACAGTGTGGTGATTCCTCAAGGATCTAGAACCAGAAATACCATTTGACCCAGCAATCCATTTACTGGGTCAATCCATATACCCAAAGGATTATAAATCATTGTACTGTAAAGACACATGCACACGTATGTTAATTGCAGCACTGTTCACAATAGCAAAGACTTGGAACCGACCCAAATGCCCATAAATGATAGGCTGGATAAAGAAAATGTGGCACATATACAACATCAGTTACTATGCAGCCTTAAAAAGGGATGAGTTTATGTCCTTTGCAGGTACATGGATGAAACTGGAAACCATCATTCTCAGCAAACTAACACAGAAACAGAAAACCTAACACTGCATTTTCTCACTCATAAGTGGGAGCTGTACAATGAGAACACATGGACACAGGAAGGGGAACATCACACACCATTGCCTGTTATGGGCGAGGGGTTAGGGGAGTGATAGCATTAGGAGAAATACCTAATATAGATGATGGGTTGATGGGTGCAGCAAACCACCATGGCACGTGTATACCTATGTAACAGACCTGCACGTTCTGCACATGTACCCCAGAACTTAAAGTATAATAACTAAAAAAAAAGAGCGTATCATCCAGGCATGGTGGCTAGCACCTGTAATCCCAGCACTTTGAGATGCCAAGGCAGGTGGATTGCTTGAGCTCAGGAGTTCAAGACCAGCCTGGGCTACATAATGAAAACCTGTCTCTACAAAAAAAATTAGCCAGGCCTGGTGGTCCGTGCCTGTGCTTCCAGCTACTTGGGAGGCTGAGGCGGGAAAATTGCTTGAGCCCAAGAGGTAGAGGTTGCAGTGAGCTGAGATTGAACCACTGTACTACAGCCTGGGTGACAGAGCAAGGCCCTGTCTCAAAAAAAAGAAAAAGAAAAAAGAAAAAAAAAGGAGCCTATTGACTTTATTTTTAATTCTGTTTATTGTATTTTTGAATATGTAATGCACTCACATGATTCAAGAAGTGCCCTTGCCATAATTCTGCCTCCCCTCTACTGTTTTCCGCTCCTATGCATACACCAAGGACATGGTTTTTGTTGTTGTTGTTATTGTGACTTTCTCCAAATTATCTTTATGTATGATAAGCAGACTGAATATATTTTCTTATTTTCCTGACTTAGTATCCAAATGGTATCGTATTATGTCAATATCCCTATTAATATGATCAATAGATGTTTATTAAAAGAATGAGCATACTGATAAAAGAACGATCTTCCTACTAGATCTTTCTTTATTCCTACTAAATCTTTCTTCATTACAGTATATCCTCCTGTGCCTCTGCTCAGCGGAGGTAAACTAGATTTGGGTCATAATTAAAGATCCTTACCAAGAAAGGGCTACATGCTGTTAGATTATGGCAGCAGCCTTCTAAATGACTCTGACCTGTCCGGAAATAGAGCTTCTTATCAAAGTAAATAGTTTAACCAAATGTTATGAGAAGATACAAATTTGATTGGCCATGAAGCCAACTAAATGATGGAATTAGTTACCAAGAAGACATCAGATTTTGTTTCAGGGAGGAAAGTATCTCCGGTGACTAAAATGATTCAGATACAAGTATGCTTAAGAGTGAAAAACAGTCTCCTCCATTTCTATGACTCAGTTTTGAAAAAGAGTTATAAAAGTAGACTAGGAGAATTTTTAAAGGTAACCCAGATTATTTAAGTGGAAGTTCTGTTCATACTGGCACTTCTTGTATTAAAAAAAGACTCGGGGGAAAAAAAAAACCTACTAATTTTGCAGAATCCAGAAAGTTCTGACAGATTCAAATCTATTGATATCAGGCAAGAAGTAATCATATGAGACAATAGTTTTTTTCATAGAAACAAATTACCTGGGATAATTTTTTAAAATTTGTGAACCTCTTAGATAAAGATTAATTGTTTTAAATGATGAGTGAGATTTCTTAAACTGTTCACTATATTGTTCACTGAACCTATATATCAGTGCACAGTAAACAAATTTATGTTCTTTGAATTTCTAAGATAAATAATCCCAGCTGTAACAGCAAAGACAGATAAAAGTGACCGGATGAAGTAGGTGACTAAGCAGGGGTGTCAGTGATCCTTTGTAAACTGTAATGGCCAAATTTGTATTTGGAAGTTGATGAAGCTCATTTTGAAGTATAATTTAAATGGTTTTTAGGACCACTGTTTTTTTAGGAAACATTAACTCTAGCAATGGATTGCCAAGAAAAATAGGACTATGTTTCAGGAGAGACAAATCTAATTTTGGCTTCGTTGCTGGAGAGCTGTGGATTTCATTCAAGTCCTTTGCCTTCTGATTTTCAGCCTTTATTAGGAGATCAGGTGATAATTTGCTGTATATTGTTAAAATTCCTTTCAGCTATAAAATTATTTTGGTAAAATGAGGAAAAGGAAAATGATGGTCATTTGAGCTTCCTTAATGATTATTATTTTGGGATGAATGAGTGAAGTAGAGTTAATTATGAAATTTTTGGTGATTAAAAATTGGAACGCAAAAAATTTGAAAGCTTTGATTTTGAATACGTTAGTTTCTTTTTGTATGAAATAAGATGATGTCAGCTTAGCAAATGATATCTTTCAATTTGACTACTTGAATATTTTTTGTTAGCTTATCCCTTTTATTTTTTGAAATTTTGACTACTTGCTGAGGTGTTTATTTTGACTACAGTGGCTATAACACTTGTGGTTATTAGAATATAATATAGCTTTCTGAGTTGACTGCCATCCTGAAATAAAGTATCTGTTAATTTTTCTTCCTGAGTTTGTAACACTAAAAATTACATGTATACATGCAAAAATCTGAACATATTTTAAACTTGTAATAATGATCATTTTATGCATTGAACTCAGTAAAAGGGAAAGATAATATATCTTTCTTTGAGTTGTTAATGTGTGTGTTTCATTTATGAAGTATAATCTAATAAATTCTGGTTTACTTGTACTAATTTAAAATGTGATAACCTGGGTGAAACTTGGTGTTCACATATGCTCTATATAGCAATTAACCAAGATATTAGAAAAAGGTGACCAAAGAATTAGAAAAAATTCAAATGAAATGAGAAGGCAAACATCCGGAGAAATACAGTCTGGCAATCTTCAGAGATGGAACTTACTTGTTTAAAACAAAAGCCGTTTTTGTATTAGCCTTATTTCTCTCCTCAGGCCTTAGAAGAAATCCCTTCAAAAAAGAAGGGCTGTCATCTTGAAATCAGTAATATGGACTGACGTTCTCCTTGACATTAAAGTATTTTTATTTGACTTTTTTCCCTAAATTACTATACAGACTATCGTGAGGAGGAAAAGAAAGTCTTAAATGGTAAGTCTATAAATTTATAATAAATGAATGATATTCACATGCTTATGAACAGTATTTCTTCACAGAATTATCTAGAACATTTAGAATTTTTTTTTTTTTAATATGAAAGATAGCTTTACTGGCCCAAACTTACGAGTCTTTCATAGGGCTTTATAGGCCCCTTATTCTAGCCATTACTCTTACAATCATGCTTTCTGTTGTCACCCTAAATATGTGTTATCCCTAAATACTTGTAGTGATTAGAAGTTTCATCCTCAGAAACAAGGCAAAACCAAGTCAGTTTTCTTAGGTGTGAGCTCACCTCCAGTGTTTGCATACACATGTCAAATAGTTTATTAATCTACAACTTTCTGAGCTGAGTGGTGCTGTTTTCCTCATCCATTCTGGATGACTTGCAGATAATGACTGACACTTCCTCCACCCCAGAAAAAAGCTTGGTGTGATGGTCAATACTGACATAAAATGCATGGTGCTAACTCTGACTGAACTATGTTGATGTACATTTAGAAACAGTTTTTTTTCTTTTGTTTGCAAAAGGAAGTTAGAGAAATGCAACTAACAAGCTAGATTGCCAGATGAGTTACCTTTTTCTTTGTTAACTGGAGGAAATAGACTATATTGTAGACTAATTCATGCAATTTATGGTACCTGAAGTTGTTTATTGGATAATATAATACCTCATTAAACGAAGGACCGATCTTTGGTTTCGCCTGATTATTGACTTTTCTGTGACACTACAGAAACAACCATTGCTTAATGACTAATTACTGATGGAGTGGGCATTTCCTTTCCACCGCATATGGCCTCCAGAACCTTTACTTTTCTGTTGCCTTCTTTGGATGCACTGCATTTGACTAATTTCTCAGTTAAAGGTGGCATTAAGTATAGAATACAGCACTCCACAAGTGATGTGGTTAGCCCTGTTACCTCTTGTAACCTGGACCCTGGACCCTATAAGATTGGAACACATCTACATATATATTTATTAGCTGCCTTTTCCTTTGGGCTCATTTAAGTCCATGCGGTAAGTCTGTATTTGCAAATGTGATCTGCCTGCGTTCTGTGGTACCATTCCAATAGCTGCTTAAAATACTGCATGGGTTGCACTACTTTGCTATTCCACTGGAGACCTGATCCCTTCAAATTGGCAGCATTCAGTCAGTCAGTGAACACTTAGGGAAGAGAGAACATTCATTCAGTCCACCTTGCATTACTTATTTTATTTCACTCCACATTCACCCCCATTTTTTTCAACTTATTCAAAATAATATTATTTAATGTTTGGGGTTTTTTGTTGTTTTTAGTTAGTTTTAAATTAAGACACATTCCATGTATTACTATGTTATTCTGCTTTAATAAGATATATCTTAATGATACTATATAGTTTTTTAGAATGTTTGATTATTGTCTCATTTGATCACCCATGATATTGCAGGGAGCATTTCATTGCTATTAATAGCTTCAGTTCGAAGAAGAGGGAACAGTGGCTTGCATAAGATCAATTTTGTGGTCCTAATTAAGTCATACAAGATCTGTATTGACTTAAAATTTATGAATTCTATTGAGAGATTTTTCTTACAGAAGTTCTTAGATTTTGATGCATTTGATTTTTATTTATATAAGAGACTTCTGAAAGAGAAATTACATTAATCTCTTAGTGAAATCTTTGAGTGTTTCTTAAATAAATAAAATTATTTCATCTTGCTCTTACCATTTCAGAAAAAATACATTTAATTCTTGTAGTCCTCTTTTGTTTTACCTGTAGTTTTGTAGAAGAGCATTCTTCTTTTAGTGGCCACTGCTAATTATTAGTTCACAACTCTGACATTGTTGTGACATCTCTGAGGTTTCCTTTGTTTATCCGAAAGTAGTGTTCTGCACAGTTATGTGAGAAGAAAGGGAAGCTGAATGAGTAAGGCCTGGACTCCGGGCTTCTGGTCCATTCAGAAAAATATGACTGTTTTACATCTTGGTTGCACTTGATCTTGTCTTTAAACTAAAGGTTTGTGTCTAAAAAGAATCTTGGAAACCTCTAAACTATCTTGTCCCAAAGGTGTCTCCCCACTCTTAAATTTGTGTAAAATACTGTGATTTCTGATTTGGGAACCCAAGACTCAGCAGATATTAACCATTAATTTTTTTTCCGGCATAGTTTGAGAAATAGTAATATAATTCATGCAGTGATTTTCAAATGTTATTTAGCAGCAGTACTTCTTTTTTCCAAACTAAATCTTACCATATACAAACAATGCACTCCTACTGTAGGAGGAAAATACTTAATGTTTGCAATATCTTGAGTTATTCCATGTCCCAGAGTTTTCTGAAATGATTTTAAAATCGTAGCTTTAGTGGGCTTTTAAAATGCATCATACACACAAGAGTAAGTAAAATGGGGAAAGACAGAAGACTACATGTTGTTGAGGTCATAGAGCAGCTGGAGCTTTTAAACACTTTTACTGTAGTGAAAGTGTGAAGTGTAAATTGGTACAACCACTTTGGAGAGCTGTTCAGTAGTGTCCATTAAAGCACCCTTCCTACTAACCAAAAATGTAGATACGTGTTCTTTAAGGATGTACATTTACGGGCCAGTTGTGGTGGCTGACGCCTGTAATCCCAGCACTTTGGGAGGCCAAGGTGAGCAGATCACCTGAGATCAGGAGTTCAAGACCAGCCTGGCCAGCATGGTGAACCCCGTCTCCACTAAAAATACAAAAATTAGCAGGACATGGTTGGGCGTACCTGTAGTCCCAGCTACTCAGGAGTCTGAGGTCGAAGAATCACATGAACCCAGGAGGTAGAGGTTGCTGTAAGCCGAGATCGTGTCACTGTACTCCAGCCTGCACAAGAGAGCAAGAGTCGTTCTCAAAAAAAAAAAAAAAAGAGAATATACATGTACATGTAAAAGAATATATCAACACTGTATAGCTCCAAAGTGGAAACAGCCTGAATGTTCATCAGCCATCAGCAGGAGAATGAATAAATTGTGAACTATTCATATAATGTAATACTACTCAGTTACAAAAAGGACCAAAGTACTGATGAATTGAATAGCCTGGATAAAATTTCAGAAAGCCCAGATTTGATTTATTGCTGATTGTCAATCATGCTTGTTTCATGTAAGAACTGTAATGTCTAGAATGTTGGACAAAAAGCCAGACTAAAAGTGAACATATCTATATCATTCTGCTTGTATCAAACACAGGCAAAACCATGGTGTTAGTAGTCAGAATACATATTTACTCTTGAGGCAGGGATGGTGATTGAAAGGGGGCATGAAGAGAGTACTGACTGCAAGGATATTTTTCACTTGATCTTGGCCTTTTGGCTAAGATCAAGTGAAAATATATTGAGTAGTACATTTGTGATTTGCATCCTTCTATGAATGTATGTAATATTTCAATAAGAAGTTAATTAAAAAGACAAAAAAATTAAAAATACTTTGTAGATGAACTATAGCTATTTTTCTTTGTGAAGGCATGCTTCCCAAGAGCCAGGTGACAGATACGCTTGCCAAAGAAGGTCCTAGTTATCCAAGGTATGCATTGTTATTTAAAATTTTTAAAGTTAAATCATTTCTGTACAAATATGTACACATTTAAAAAATTAACTGGATTTTATTGCTTACTGTTAGTCATGTATCTTTGACACAAGAACTGTAGTGCCTTATTTATTAGATTTTGTTGGAGAATGAGCTGTTCCATAAATGTGAATTTTAAGTATAACTAAAGTTTTATCCATTTTAAATACCAGTACTTTAAAAAGCTATTTTAAAATATTTTTCTGATTATAAAAATATACATTAATGGTAGAAAATATAGAGAAATACAAAAGAAAGGAATAGAATCAGTTGTAATCTCACCATCCTTAGATATATACTATTGTTTATTTTTTCCAGTTTGATTAATATAATACCTACTTCCATATTTTGCTATTTTATAATGTTGATATGACAGTATATTCTATGTGCATTTTCCTATGCCATTAAATATTGTGAAAGCCTTTTTTCTTTGCATTCCATCATATTACCCTGCCATAATGTATTTAAATATTCTGTTTTTTATATCTAGTTCATTTTAATCAATTTTTAATTGAAATTTTTCAAAATATATTGCCCAATATTGTCTTAAACAGTTAACAGTAACTTAAGCAATACATGCATGTTTTGTTAATGACACTTAAATTACCTTCAGGTGTGTACTCTGTAGTTCTCTCTCTTACCCCTTTTCTCCCCACCACCAGTCTATAATATTCTAACAGCATCATCCTGCTATATTCATTAAATTATTTCATATGCAATTTTAAGTTAGGGACTAAGGATGCCTCCTGTAGATTGGTCTATATGTAGGTAGTAAGTGCAAAAAGAGTTTCAAATTGATCAATAGCTGTAACAAAACAGAAGACTTGGCTTCATTTTAAGTTTTACTGTGGACCCATTAAACAACCTTGGTGAATTCATTTCTTCAGTACTAATATATTTGTGACAGGGAGGAGTGAAGATAATAAACATGTACATTTTTTCATGCTCCTTAACAAAATATGTTGTGTTTTGGTTTTGCTCTGATAAAAGATTTTAGTAAAGAGATGTGTAGCCTTTATAAAAAGTGCCTTGTTAAGGATACTTTGTTTTTATTAAAGTGGGAATACATGGAAGTATAGATATTTTAAATTTACAAATAGTTGTCAGCAGTATAATAAAGAATGTAACATGGTAAGACCACTATTTAGGAAAAAACTTAACCTAGATAAATACAGATATGTCTCACTATAAATTTGAAACATTTAATGATTAATATTTGTTAATGCACATGATTGTCAATATAATTGTTCATCCTTTTCCTTATATTTTATAGCTATGATTGGTTCCAGACAGATTCTTTAGTCACCATTGCCATATATACTAAGCAGAAGGTAAATATGTCTTTATCAGAAAAAGAAGTAAATAATAAAGGCTAATTTATGTACCAGGTCTTTTTCTAAGCACGTTTTTATATTTACTTCTCACTACAATTCTTTGAGGTAGATATTACTGTTAACCCTTTCGTAGAAAAGATTAAGTAATTCACGCAAAGTCACACTGAGTGGGCACATCTGGCATTTGGAACTCAGGCAGTCTTGACAGCCATTGCTATAGCCTCTCAAAAATGAGAGTAGGAAGTATTTCATGTGTTTATCTGTGTATGTGTATGTGTGTTTGTTTAAAGCATGGATAACAAAAAATGAATCTTCGTTAACTTCGTAAGAACAAACTTTCCAGACATAAGCTGGGATTGGAGAAAGTATTTTGCTGTTGCTTAGTATGTTTAAAGCACTAATGGGGTTCAGATGCCCATTAAAAAATGAAGTTAGGGAGATAATTCACTCACCATTGAAACTAAAGTTACAGAGATAATTCATTCACTAAGTATTTATGTAACCTGCTTCATGTAGAACATAGTCTTAGATATCAGGGATCTAATGATGGGCCAGATATATAGAGACCTGGCTTTCAAAGGGCTTACAGTCCAGCTGTAAATAAATATGCAGACAATTTATAATATCTCTAAGCACATCCTCCAGCAACTGTGAGGTTCCCATACTTTGAGGGATATGTAGATTTAAAGACAAGTTCTGGCAGCTAGGAATTTTTGAGAATTCATGCTACTTCTGTAGCGGCAGAACCATGTCTGAACCAGTGGGTTCCTCTGACGCTTGCAGCATGATTTGGCCATTCTGCAGAGTAAACCAGCCTCTGCCTGAAAAAAGCCAAGAGGGCTAGCGGTGCTACTTATCCTGCTTTCCACTCCCTCTTGATATTGTCTCTTCACTCAGTTCAAAACCCAGAGCACAGGCTTTAGGGAGGTCTGCTCCCACTGGTAATATCAATGGGGCATAGAGGATGGATGGCTAAGGGAAAAGGAAAGGAATAATATATTCAATGAGTAATTTAAATAATATGTATTTTACTCCAAGGATATGTAGAAATTAGAGACATCTAAAAATATGTTAGTGAATTGATTTTTTTTTAGTAAGCTGAGGTGAAATGGTTATCTAATTTGCCCAGGACCACATTAGCGGAAAGATAAAGATGAGTAACAAATATCTTAGTTTCTAGTCTGATTGTAATTTTCTGGGGGGTGGGGTTACATATTGCTTATTCAAAAAATATTTATCGAGCACTTGCTAGGTGCCAAACAATGTTCTAAAGATAGTCCCTTAACCTTAGAGCTTAGACTTTAGTGGATAAGGTAGATATTAAACAGAGACAAATATGTGGTAATTAAAATTTTGATATGTATATTGAAGAAATACTGGGTCATAAGAGAGAAAAACAGAAGTAACATTTGTTTAACTTGGAGATTCAATAAAGAAGCACCATATGAATGTCCACAGATCACCTTAATAGTTTAGTTGTAGAAGTTTTGGGGGAAATTTTTACTTTCTAATCTTTCTATTTTTGCTTTCTGTTTCAGAATATCAATTTAGACTCAATAATAGTTGATCATCAGGATGATTCCTTTAGAGCAGAAACAATTATTAAGGATTGTTTATATCTAATACATATTGGTGAGTACTTTATTATTAATGAAAGAGCTCTGATTTTCTTTAAATATGGCAATAACTTGGTCTACAGTCCAGGTAACTGTAGTATTTTATCTGCCATTATCATTTTGGTTTGTCATTTTTGATCAGTTTTTTTCCTGTAATTTCTTTACACTAATAAAAGTACTAGCAAGTGGTGGTGTGACCTCACCTTTCCAAGTTTAAGCAACTAGATGCAATCAAAATCAATAATATAAAATATATGTTGGCCCAGCTTTGTAAAATCTCTCATACCTGACACCTACAAGCGAGTCTTCCAAGGCCCATTGGTCACATGCTTCTACTGACTGTCCTTCGCTAGATGGCCCATTCCACTGGCCTGTTCCTTGGAAGTCAGTGGGTGCAGCAAAGCAGCCTGGACTACAGATTTGTGTTGTATCCCCTAGCTGTCTGTCCTTCATAGCTAAAGACCAACTTTGCATTTTTTTTAATCAGGACAGAGAAAAACGTAATAGAAACCAGGGATCCCTATGCTAGCACACTTATTTTAAAAAATTAAATATTCCACAGTTAAAAATACAAAACTTTTGGTTGCTAATATTACATTGAAAGGACTGAAGTAATGCAAAATTGTAAATTCCAGATAAACATATGAACACAGTGAAATTTACATCAGACATTTGTAAGCATATTTCTTACATCACCCCCTTCTGGAATATAAGTTCCAAAGGGGCAGGAATTTTTCTGTCTTATTAAATGTTGTGTCCATAACACCTGGAAAGTACCTGTCACATGTAGATGCTCAATAATTTTTTTTTCAATAACTGAATGGATATTCAACTTTGGAGAACAATAAGAAAAGTTAAGCTAGACCCAGGCCTGACCTATGTACATATGTATGCACGCGCGTGCGCACGCACAGACACACACACACGCACAGACACACACACACACACACACACACACACACACACACACACACACACAGGCTTGCATGCTTCAGGTGCTGCCTCTCCCTAGCCTACTCCTCTCTTGGTTTATAGTATTCCCAGTGTGGAACCATCCATGCTTGGACTAGTGTGGGTTACCTACTTGTGGGCAATTGAGTATTTGCTCTTTAGTTAATAGGGAGAAAAATGAAATGATTGAAAAAATAATACATTTAAATAATTTGATTATTTTGTGTACAATTTCTTTGGTCTCTCAGAACATGTTTTATTTGCCTTGAGGGATTTGAAATAATTCATAAAAGAGCCATTTAAATGACATAGGGTGTTCAAAAACTGTATTAATTGAAGTTCTATTTTAATTAAATAAATTTTTCTATCCTAGGGTTAAGCCATGAGGTTCAGGAAGATTTTTCTGGTAAGCTGCCAAAAACCAGAATTTATTATGTATGTACATACATAAACACATACGTATAGAGAGAGAGAAGGATAAGAAAAAATGGAAAAATTAGCATTTGTTTTATTTTTTGTATGTATATTTTCATGTTGCAAAACAAAGATGTGACACTTTCTCTTTTTTTAACCTTTAAGTTCAGGGATGCATGTGCAGGATGTGCAGGTTTGTTACATAGGTAAATATGTGTCATGGGGTTTGTTGTATAGATACAAACAAATACATTAATTTTTAAATATACTCCTCCGGTTTCAGGTTTTTGCCTGTTTTATTGTCCCTGTTGTTCCTTTGTGTGTGAAACGGGGTCTCACTCTGTCACCCAGGTTGGACTGTAGCAGCGCAGTCTTGGCTCACTGCAACCTCTGCCTCCCGGGCTCAAGCGATCCTCCCACCTCAGCCTCCTAAGTAACTGGGATCACAGTACACACACCACTACACCTGGTTAATATTTTTTGTAGATACAGGGTTTCACCGTGTTGCCCAGGCTGGACCCCCTTCTTCTTTTGATCTCTTTAAACTCTTTTTTTCTCCTTTAAAAAAAAATTCTGCTTTTTGTTCTTCCTTCCTCCTATCTGCCCTACTCTTTGACATGCAGCTTGTAGAAATACACCATATTAGACAAATTTTCTTTCATCTATATACTTAAATGTTTAATGTTGACAAAGCATACTAAATTATGAATATTGCTGCATGTAAACATGCATCAGGGTTTTACACAGCTGCATGTTACCAATTTAACAATAGAAGACTGATTATAGAATGGTGTTTTCTTGTTTTCAAGTACTGTCAGCCTACCTTACGCTGATCCAGTGTTTCCTTTTTTCCATGTATCATAGTAGACTCTGTAAATTATATAGATCAGGCTCTTTAAAGATAATGTTTTTATTTTGGTTAAGCTTCAACTCAGTGCTTATCAAATTGAATTCATTTGACTCATTTATCTTTAAAAGTTGTTAAATTGTCACTGGGTTTTGTGTTTACAGTGAGGGAGAGCAGAATGTTGTCTCTGAAGAAAAATTACATGTAAAAAGCATGTTCAATTCATAAAATTTAAATCAGCATATGAAAGCATGTATTTTATTATACCCACATATTATAAACATTTTAATTATTCAAAAAATAAAAAGATAAACTAAAATATTTTTATCAAAGATTTACATGCACTTCATCAGTTTACTGTTTACTAGGAACTCATTCTCATGAGGCTATTCTAGTGTTTATTAGGCTCAGAATTAGTCTACTGAATTTACTTATAAGAATCCTTCAAATTCTCACTAAGGAATGTTAAAAAAAATGTAATTTGCTTTTGTGGGGGCATTCAATAGCTAATTTGTAAATCTCAGCTCTTTTTTTTTTTTTTTTTAAAGCTTTGTGTCAATTAGTTGCCATGGCTATATTTGAGCTTGTTTGAAAACCAGCAATACATAGTAATTTGGCCCTTAATAAATTAGTTAGAAAGAAGTTAATCTGAATCTGTTAATAAAATAAATTAAGCATCTGGGCACAGAGACTCATGCCCGTAATCCCAGCACTTGGGAGGCCAAGGCAGTCAGATAACCTGAGGTTGGGAGTTCGAGACCAGGCTGACCAATGTGGAGAAACTCCAGCTCTACTAAAAATACAAAACTAGCCGGGCGTGGTGGTGCATGCCTGTAATCCCAGCTACTTGGGAGGTTGAAGCAGGCGAATTGCTTAAACCTGCGAGGCAGAGGTTGCAGTGAGCTGAGACTGCTCCATTGCATTCCACCCTGGGCAGCAAGAGTGAAACTGTCTCAAAAAAATTAAAATAGAGCTGTCTCAAAAAAAAAATAAATAAATAAAAATAAGCTGTTTTTAATACCATATAAAGCATAAACAATTATGATTGTGATTGATTATGTAAACAAAATCTTATTTATCCAGCTAATAATTGGTGCCATTCATATTAGATCAGGACACTTGTACTGTGTGAGAAATACTGGTTTTAAAATAAAATTCTGTATTTAGTATTCATGAATACAAATGGAGTTTATCTTCTTTTCAGTGCGGGTTATTGAAAGTGTGGGAAAAATAGAGATTGTTCTAAAGAAAAAAGAGAATACTTCTTGGAACTTTCTTGGCCATCCCCTGGAGAATCATCATTCACTTATTCCAAGGAAAGATGCGGGTATGCTGTATTCTTTTATAATGTTAATTTCATATTCATGAAATTGTTGTTAGCTGCACGTTTGTAACCAGAGTTTGGAAGGCTACTTTGAAATGAGCTGAAGGGTCCTTGTATCTACTTCTAGGGAGTTTGAAAGGGACATTGTGTCTGTTATCCTGCTTTTTCTTCCCCATAGAAGTTAAATTTCAGACTCTATCTAATATTTAGGCATAGCAAACTCATTACATAATGATACCTGAATGGTAAAGTCTACTTGTGCTTAGACTGTTGATCAACCATTTACTATTTCAGTTCCTCTTTTGTGAAAGATACAAAACTTTAAGTTTATGCTTTGTATGTCTGATATTTTTCCTATTAAGGAAGACATGTTTACTATTTTTCTACTTAATTAAAAGTTTCTGAATTTACTTCTTATATTAGTCTGCCCTCATGTTGCTATAAAGAAATGCCTGAGACTGGATAATTTATTTAAAAAAAAAAAAAAAAAGGTTTAATTGGCTCATGATTCCACAGGCTGTACAGGAAGCATGGTGCTGACATTTGCTTGGTTTCTGAGGAAGCCTCAGGAAACTTACAATCATAGCAGAAAGTGAAGGGAAAACAGGCACATCTTACATGGCTAGGGTAAGAGGAAGAGAGAGATGAAGGAGGTGCTACACACTTTTAAACAGCCAGATCTTGTGAGAACTCTGTCAGGAGAACACCACCAAGAGGGTGTTCCTAAACCATTCATGAAGGATCTACCCTTAAGCTCCAGTCACCTCCTACCAGGCCCCACTTCCAACACTGGGGATTACAGATCAAGCTGAGATTTGGGTGGGGACACAGATCCAAACCATATCTTTTCTGAAAGATGATGCCATTCATTTTCCTTTCATTTTTAAAAAGCTTTTAACCTAATTTTAACATATATATAGAAAAGGGTGCAAAGTAGAAGTGCTCTACTTGATATTTTGCAAAGTGAACACATCCTGTACTTTTTCTTTGGAAACTGCTAATATTTGTTCCTTGTTGTAAGTGTTTTGGAATTTCACAATGATGTGCCAGAACATGGATCATTTTTCATCATTTATGCTGGATGTACATTTTTTGTGCTAATCTTTTCAATATGGAAACTTATGACCTTCAGGTTTTGGAAATTACTGTTGGTTTTTCTTCTTCCCATGGTCTGTTTTACTTTCTACATATTGAACTTCCTCAACTAGTCTTCTAATTATCTTATCTTTTCTCTCTTATTTTCAGTTTCTTCCTTTTGTTCTACTTTCTGGGAGATGTCTTCAGCTGTGTCTTCTAGCTCTTCTGTTGAGTTACTCATTTCTACTCATATTTTTAACTTCTATAACTCCTTTGATTTCTTTTCTTTTGTTTTAGCATCTGATTCTTATTAACTTATCTTTTAAAGAATGACTGATAATGTTTTCTTCTCACTGTATAACTTCTGTGTCCTTGAAGTTTGTTGTTTGTTATGGTGTCTTTAATATTAAATGCTTTCTTTGAATGTTTCCTAATCTTTCACTATCTGCTCATATTTCAGGGTGGGACTGTAAAACTAATTGGAAACTGTGCATGTGGGTGTGGCTTGTCAACAGTTATATTCACTATATGGCTGGAACATTTCTTTGGGAAAAGTCCAATGCCAAGAGTCCCTAGAGTGAACAATCTTCTTCTACCTTGTACCCAGCATTTCAGAAGCCATGTGGGGAAGAAGGCTGGGCCTAGCTTCTGGTATATCTGTAAGCGTCACTTCATTTTCTTTCTTTCTTTTTTTTGTTTTGCTTAGAATGTGATATTAGTGTGCTAGGACTGCAGTAACAAACCACTACAGACTGAGTGTCTTTTGCAGAGTTGATCTCTTCTGAGACTTCTCCCTTTAGCTTATAGATGGCCTCTTTTTTCCCTGTTTCTCTATATGGACTTCCTTCTGTGTGTTTGTGTCCTAATGCCCTCTTTTGATAAAAAATACCTGTCATGGTGAATTGCAGCCAGCTTAATTACCTTTTAAATTAAGACCCTATTTCCAATTATAGTCATATTCTGAGGTGTTGGGAGTTATGACTTTAACATGTATGTTTGGTGAGGGGGACATAATTAAGTCTATAGCATAGATCCAATCCAAAGACCCTTTCTTTACCCTCTAGAGAACAGACTTCTTATATTTTGCTGATATGGGAAAGTGTCAGTCATGTGGCTGTACTAAGTAGGGGAGGACATCAGGGGAATGGGAAGACCTAGCCAAGCTTCTTAAATGAACTTTTATTGAGAAGGTAATTTTAATTCTACCTTGACTCTGATGCCACAGGTACTTGGTCCTGCCAGTTTCTCAGCCTTAAAGGAATTTTGTATTATAAGCATGTTGGCTCTTGGCTTTCTACACTTCTGGCTTACCATTTAGCTGTCTTGGGTCTGTTGAGTCATTTACCAGTCTTCTCTCTGCCTTATTAGCTCCTAAGGTTTGTTACTTTTATCTCTGATTTCTGTTCTTCCTGTCTGGGCTTATGCCTTAATAAACAACCAAGCACACATACAAAAACCCTCTTTGTTGTTGTTTTAGGGGATTCGAAAGGAACTAACTGCGTGTATTCAGTCTGTCATCTTTAAATATATAGAATTATCATACATATTTTGAACTATTGCATGAGATAGGAAGAATCACACTTTTTCCCACTGCTCAACTCAGAACACTAAAATGTAAGATTTTTTTCTCACCAACAACCAACAACTCTATAGCAACTCCAACTGTCTGTCCTACAATTTAACTCAAATCTGATACATCCTGGAGTTTAGGGTAGACTCCACAGGTCAAAGGCTTAATCCCACAAGACTGCCCCTTACTTCACACGCCAGTTGCAAATTCCAGGTTGTGACCTATGCATCTGACCAGCCACCTATAAATCAGGGTTATCACAACCTTCTTCTTGGGTTCAAAAATTTGCTAGGATGGCTCACAAATCTCTGGGAAACATTTAAGTTTATCAATTTATTATAAAGGATAAAGGATACAGATAAATAGTTGGATGGAAGAAATGCGTGGGGACAAACTATGTGAAGCGGGGTGCAGAGCTTCCATGACCTCGGTGATTGCGTCACCCTCCAAACACCTTCATGTGTTCAGCTTTCCACAAGCTCTTCAAACCATGTCTTTTTAGGTTTTAATGGCAGCTTTATTATGTATGTGTTATTGATTACATCATTGACCATTGGTGAGCAGCTCAACTTTCAGCCTCTTCTGTCCCCAGAGGTCTGGCGGGGCGGGCTTTGGGTTCCAATCCTCTAATCACATGGTTGGTTTCCCAGGCAGACAGCTCCCATCTTGAGGCTTTCCAGGAGCCTACCAGGAGTCTACCCGTTAAGATAAAAGATGCTCCTAGCACCCAGGAAATTTCAGGGATTTAGGAGTTCGGTTTAAGGCCCTCATAGTACTTAGGAAATTAGAAAAGGTTTTAAGAGCTCAATATCAGGAACCAGGGTTGAAGACCCAAATATTAGAACAGAGGATTATTGTAGTGTCTCTGTTTACAAGGATTTTAGGAGTTCTCTGTTAGGAGCCAGACACATAGACCAGTAAGTATTTCTTTTTAAATCACAATTATGAAAATATATTTGTAGACAGTTTTTAGAAAAGTTTGAGGCAGACTTATTTTGAGTACACATTGTGTGTAGAAGACTATTTTAGGCACTGTGGAATGAAACAAAGAGCATGAGAAATTTAGTTTCCCAAGTGGAAGACATAAACAAACATGAGATTGAAGAATACTTTTATAAGGAAACAGCCCAACAAGAGCAAGTTATATGATACAAACAAAACATGTTTAGTGGTAGCCCCAAGTGAATAGACACAGATGAATATGGTCTTGAATGACTGCCTCAAAGAAGTGAATTTGAAGTAGTATTTTCAAAGTGAGGTTCATGGCTTTTAGGAAAAAAAGCAAAAAACTATGTGGGACTTTCCAGGTAGAGCTACAGATCGTTACTGGTTGCATATTGTGCCAGGCATTTTGCTGAATGGAGGGAGAGAAAAATGTAAGTAGCATATAGGAAAGTTCAAATGGGTTCATTTTACCAGAGCAAGAGGTCTGAATTTTTTGGTATTAGGTAGGGAGAGAGAACATAGAGAAATAATAGTGTGATATAGCAGATCAGAAAAGAATAGAAAAGGGACAGTGCAAATGAAAAGAGATATTTTTAGAGTGAAATATCTTTCCCTGAAATTATCTGACTTATCTAGTGACTGAAAAATCATAGCAAGCCAGGTAAAAGCCAACCAAGAAATAAATGATACTGAGAACCAAGACTGACCTCCACTTGGAATTCGTAGTTAGAATGACCATCATTCAAATATTCTCTATAATTTCTTGAGGCTCTTCATTCATTCTTTTATTTCTGCTGTAAATTTTTTCATGAATCCTGAACCACCATTTAAAAAAAGAAAGTTTTAGCTTTCTTGGTTGAAATTGGAGCTATAATGTATTTCTCAGTGAAGGAAGTTTTCCACTTTGGAAAATGACTTGGAGTTAAGGAGATATTTTTATTTCACTGCATTAGCAAAGATAATTTCATCTTTCTTCTTTCTTCTCCTTAAATCATGACAAAAGCTGTAGGTTATTTTATTCACTAGAAAAGCCAAATGCTTACATCAGCAATGTATTATAATTAACTTGCTTTGAGTAGCCTCAAAGATTTATAGCCAATCATGTGGTTCCTGGATTTTCAGTATGTACTACTGTAATTATTGACTTTATGATAATAGCATGCTGGCTCCATCTTACTGGTTTCTTAGCTAAAATCATTTGTTTGAAAACAAGCATATAAGTTGAAAAAATTTTAATACAATGTTTTCTCATGTCAAATCTAGAATATACTTCCATTAAGGATTCATATATGGTAAAGAACATCAATTGGAGAAGAGAAACTTTCATTTTTACCTTCAATCTGAATGCAGTAGATCAATACTTTAAAGTATATGTATTGAACCAATATAATTTGTAAGTGTGATAGTTCAAAATAATTTTTTTCTTTCTGGAAATGAAGATTATGAGTGAATTGCTGTGGGGTGTGTATGGGAGAAAGAGGCAGGAGAGAGAAAGAGATGGCTGAGGAACTTCTCTATTAAGGGTCAGAAATCAGTAGAGAATTGAATTGCTATTTCTATATCTAAGGTAACATTAGCATTTTATCTTAATTTCTATTGCCTTTAATATGGAGACTTGGATCACCAAACAAAGCTAATTTTAAAGACTTGGCAGCAAATAACCCAGTCAATTAGTCTTAGGAAACAAGATTCTAAAAAAAAAAAAAATTATGTCACATTTTTGCTATGTCATCAGCCACTTACAGGCATATGTTGGAGATATTGAAGGTTGGGTTCCAGACCATCACCATAGAAAATCGCCGTAAAGCAAGTCACGCAGTTTTTTTTAGTTTCCCAGTGTATGTAAAAGTTATATTTACATTGTGCATTATTAAGTGCAATAGCATTATATCTAAAAAACAACTTAAACATTTTAATTAAAAAATAATGCATTGCTAAAAAATGCTAACAATCATCTGAGTCTTCAGCAAATCATAATCTTTTTGCTAGTGGAGAGTCCTGCCTCAATGTTGATGGTTGCTGATTGATCAGGGTAGTGGTTGCTGAAGGTTGGGGTGGCTGTGGCAATTTCTTATGAAAAAATGAAGTTTGCCACATCAATTGACCATTCCTTTTACAAAAGATTTCTCTGATAGCGTTTTATCCACAGTAGGACTGCATTCAAAATTGAGTCAGTCCTCTCAAACTCTGTTGCTGTTTTATCAACACAGTTTATGTAACATTTTAAATTCTCTGTTGTCATTTCAACAACATTCACAGCATCTCTACCAGGAGTAGATTCCCTCTCAAGAACACACTTTCTTTGCTCATCTGTAAGAAGCAGCTCCTCATCTGTTCAAGTTTTATCATGACATTCCAGCAATCCAATTACATCTTCAGGCTCCACTTCTAATTCTAATTCTTTTCCTATATTTCTACCACATCTTCAGTGACTTCCTTCACTGAGGTCTTGAACCCTTCAAAGCCATCCATGAGAGCTGGAATCACCTTCTAAATTCCTGTTAATATTGCTATTTTGATTGCCTCCCGTAAATCTCAAATTTTTTAATGACATCTGGAATGGTGAGTCTTCTATATATTTTTTTTTATTGCATTTTAGGTTTGGGGGTACATGTGAAGAACATGCAAGATTGTTGCATAGGTACACACATGGCAGTGTGGTTTGCTGCCTTCCGTCCCCTCACCTGTATCTGTCATTTCTCCCCATGCTATCTCTTCCCACCTCCCACTGTTGAGACTTACTATGTGGAAAGAAAGATTCCTTTCAAATTATTACCATTCATTGACAATGCACCTAGTTACGCAAGAACTCTGGTGGAGATACGTGTCATGAAGATGGCTTCTTTCCTTAAACCTCATAAATCAACCTCTTCTAGTTTCCAACTTTTCTTCTGCAACTGCCTCACTTCTCTTAGCCCTTCTAGAATTGAAGACAGTTAGGACCTTGCTCTGGATCAGGTTTTTGGCTTAAGGCAATGTTCTGGCTGGTTTCATCTGCAGACCACTCAGACTTGCTGCATATCACCAATAAGGCTATTTCACTTTCTTATGTGATTCATGTCCTCACTAAAGTAGCACTTTTAATTTCCTTCAAGAGCTTTTCCATTCCATCCATAACTTGGCTACAGTGATTGGCTACTACTGATAATTACTAACCATGTTCTCAAACTTTCTAAACAAGGCCTACTGAGTTGGGCAGGAAACCCTAATCGTTTCTTACTCCATCCCACATCTTTTCTGGCTTCCCTGAGATGTTGGACAAGTTTTTAATCTCTATAAGCTTCTGTTTCCAGCAGGGAAAATAAGAGCAAGTGCTTTAAAAGTGTACTAAGTGCAAGAAAGAGAAGCCAGTTGAAGGCAGTGGGAACTCCTAGTCCAGTCTTCTCTTTCTCTTCTATCTCCCATTAAAGAATTTGCCTGTGTTTTCTATTTTTGCCTTGTGAAATTCTGTTTTTTAGAAGGGAAAATACAGTTTTTTTTTTAACATTAAGAAAAGAGTATGCCCAAATAGTCATATTATCCTCAGTATTTCAGCCTTATCCTGAGTATCTCAATATTAATTGTATGTGTTTAATTCAAATAGATTAGGCATTTAGTACAGTAATATTTCTGTTTTATGTTTCTCTTTTACTATATTTTCAGTTTCTCATTTCTCCTATAATTATCTGTGCCTAGAAAGCCAAAAACCCAACAGGTAAATAATGGCATTGTGCAGACTAAAGTAATCAGTGCCATCTGCTTTATACTTTTTTTCTCATATGCTGCAGTTCCCATCTGTCTGAGCTATCTTTCTCCTTGATGCAATTGAAACATGAAAACTTTCTTAAATCTTTGTTAAAACTCTTAGAACCTATAGTTAGGATGTTCTATTGAAATTATGGGTAAAATATTGAAATTATCTCAGTAGTGTTAAATAACAGGAATGCTGTGTCAACTCTCTAACAAGGAAAGTCAGTAAATCACTGTAACCCTGGATTTCCTTGTGTTTTAAATATGGTTGTAGAGTTGCATACTTACTATAGCAAACTTTTCTAGCAAATACTAGAGTAGAAATTGTCAATCCAGAAGGTGAGCATTTTCATCCAGCTGTAAAGTTATCAAGATGATATGCACTAGATTTTATTAGAGGAAAACACTATGCCCCTTAGACCTGGGCAAGAGGGGCACCTTCACTGGGTTCCACACTTGGAGAGCCATACGTGACTGACTTCAGCTACTCCCCTCCCACAAGGTGAGAGGAGTATTGCAAGGCCACAAAGTATCCACCTGGAGCTCATTCTCTTTCTTTCAACTTCACACTCCAGGTATCTAGACTGTGGAATTCCCTGCCCAAATGATCCCAAGTCTACTTCTATCCAAGGAGTGGCCAGGGCTGTTTATGTGGAAAGCTAGTGCATGAGCTTGAGCCTGTGGGTTAATGTATCCACACCCATTTGAGCCCCTAGTCAGTGTCAGAGAGCCAAGAACAAGAAGGCAAGGTAGGCAGGCAGTGGGAGTTCAGGTCTTTCATTCCTCTGTCATCTCGCTGATACTCTGAGGAATTTAAGAATCCTGAATTTGAACCTAGCCTTCTAGGACCCCGTGAAGGTTATATTTCAAGATAGAGCATAGAACATACTTTGACAATTATTTGTTAGATTTATAACTGTCAAGTATTTATAGGTATATAGTATGTGAGTCTCTAGTTGTATTCTTACTGTGGGATGTAGAAAGGGTCTGGAAAAAGAAATAAAGAGATCATTTGCACCTTCATTTCTTTTTGTGCATGGGCCTGTCTTTTGACCCTTTAGTTAGTCCAATACTTGTTAGACCTTCCAGGATAACTTTAGAGTGGGCTCTTAGCCAAAATCTGGTACAAGCCTGTGCCCTGGCACTAGAGTGACATGACCTCTAGTAGTACTCAAAGGTCTTTGCATGAAATGATGTACTTTAATGTACTTACTGCTACCATGATAGCAGGTGGAAAATTGGGTAACTGATCTGTGGGGAGCAAAAGGGAGAAGGGAAGTTGGATTCACATGTGGCTAAACTGTTTTCTTAAGATTATATGTGAATTTCAGTTTCCCACTAAGCACTGATTATCAGCTGTTGGCCCTTCACTTTCTAAGATCTGGAAGAAATATTTCTGCACCTACTTGAATATTTTTGGGTTAAAAAAAGAGAATAACTAGAGTAAGAAATATGGTATTAGGGTTCATTCCTTTATGTCTATGTAAATACTATTTAAGGAGAGAGGATAAATAAATAATAAAAAGGATATAAATAAATAAAAAGTTAATATCTTCACATTACTCTGATATGCAGTTTATGTTCAAAGAGAATTTACAAGTGAAACACTTAATTCTTTCAGAACTTCTATAATAAATTCTTCTAATTCAAATGGTTTTATTTACTTTGTATACAAACAATTTTTTCTGAGCTTGAGATATTAATTTCAAATTTTTCTCATATTTATTGAAATATTTGATTCCTTTTATCTACTTGTATATTAGTACCATAGTCCTAATCCTAGCATCTTCAGCTTTTCACTTGAATTAATTTTCCAGATACCAAAATCTACACCTTCAAGCATAGTAGTTTTTGTTTCAATCATTTTTGAAATGTTCTCTGATCATATCTGTAATGCATACATAGAAACATAGAGACACAAGAATGTATACTTTTCTTGCCTTTGTCAAAGAGATCTTCTAAAATTGTTTAATAGTGCTACTGTTGTTAAGCCTTAAAGGCTTTAGTTTCAGGACTTTCCCATTGTGTAAGAAAAGACTTGAGAATGTATGGTGGCTCACAACTATAATCTTAGCGCTTTGGGAAGCCGAGCCAGGTGGATTGCTTGAGTCCAGGCATTTGACACCAGCCTGGGAGACATGGTGAAACCCTATGTCTTAAAAAAAAAAAAAAAACTTTAGAATGTAAATTTATTCATTATCAAATAAAATTAGGTTATTTTTTAGAACATAATGGTTTAATATGCTAATAACAGATATGAGGAAATAACCCTCATAAAGTTCATTTTTCAAATTATAGAAGTATTTACAGGTCTTGGACAACAAATATCTTAGGAAATAAAATGGAAAATTTAATCTTATTGATGAATTTTTAAAATGCGTAGGCATTTTAGTGAAATTGAAGCTTTCTAGAAAACAAAAGCTGAGTGTATGCTTTCTCTTAGTGGTTTAGTATTACTTCTTACTAATTTATGTATCAGTAAGAGAAAATGAATCACTTTTTAGGTTTGTACTACAGAAAGTGCCAGTTAATTTCCAAGGAAGATGTCACTCATGACACAAGGCTTTTCTGTTTGATGCTGCCACCAAGCACTCATCTTCAAGTGCCCATTGGGCAACATGTTTACCTCAAGCTACCTATTACAGGTAAGGTAAATAGAGGCTTTGAGACATGTTTTCCTCTTTTATAAGCAGTTCAAAATCAATACTATTCTCCCAAGAAAAGAACCATTTAAGTTATTAATAAATGTTTCCAGGCAGCTAGATTTAGTGAGAGTCAGAATCTAGGTTTGTGACTGCCACATGTCCTACATGTTGGAACTATAGCTGTACCACATTATCGTATGGAACAAAGATATTGCCAGTAGTTTAGAGATGGTTCCACCAGCACGGTAATTTACTACTAATAAAACCCTAAAGGAAAGAGAAGACACAAATAGTCCTCCATGAAGACAACTACTAGAAGCTCATACTGGCATCTTTTAGTAGCTACTTAGGATTGTATCATTTATGAAGTTGAATCTATAAAATTTAAAATGAGTGAATGATGAGAAATGATTTTATTATATGTGCTACCAGTATAAGAAGCTCTGTAAATGTATAAATTTGAATTCTTACCTCACTTGTTTTGAATACCCTTCTTACTGATGCCCAATGTTTTCTTGGCCTTTTGAAGCGGCAAACAGTAAAATTCTCCTGTCAGCTGTAGTATTTCCAGCAATGAGTCTAAAATGTTACTAGCTAGGTCTTGGTAGATATGATATATTATGATGGGGCACTATTAAGGTTTTCTCTTTTACGTCACTAATGCTAGATTACCTAAGTCAGAAGCTGGTATCTTCTCCAGTTACTGCCACTGCATTTTAATTTATATATGTATTTTGTGTATGTTAAGGAGCCATGCATACATTTTGGTCTTTCAAACAGTGGTGATTCTTCCCTTGGAATTTGGCTACCTAAAAATATAAAACGAGTTCTTATTTATTTTACTTTTTAAGAAAATAATATATTCGGCTGGGCTCAGTGGCTCACTCCTGTAATCCCAATACTTTGGGAGGTTGAGGCGAGAGGATCACCTGAGGTCAGGAGGAGTTCAAGACCAACCTGGCCAACATGGTGAAACCCCATCTCCACAAACGTAACAAAATTAGCCAGGCATGATGGCAGGTGCCTGTAATCCCAGCTCCTTGGAAGATTAAGGTGGGAGAATTGCTTGAACCCAAGAGGCAGTGGTTGCAGTGAGCCAAGGTTGTGCCATTGCACTCCATTGTGGGTGACAGAGTGAGACTTCATCTCAAAAAAAAAAAAAAGAAAAAGAAATCAATATATTCTTAGAAGTAGCTGGATTAACATTCTTTTACTCAGTTACCAAAGTAATATATAATACATTAAAATATTAAAACCATTTAAAGTACATAAAGTAAAAAGTGAAATTTCTTCCTTTTTTTACTCCAAATGATCCTATTGGTCATCAGTTTCCATTTTTAAAAATTTGGTGTATAATCAAAATTATTAGGTAAATACTTTTTTTGCATCTTCATGGTAAACTTTTGATGCAATTTTTGTTGTAGCCCATTACAAAGTTTATTTGCTGATGGAGTAGATGATTGTCTAAAATTATTACCATATATTTCTATTAGATTAGACTAAACATAATAAAAACAGATTGTTTACATTATGGGTACAATATTGATGGTGAAAATTATTTCAGCACATACAGGCTTGGGGTATATATACATATATATTATATACGTATAGAATAATCATTAGAATTACGTACCCATTAGATATATAGTTTTAAATATATACTGATAGTATTATAAAATTTGTATGTTTCATCTTCATTAAGAGATTTTTTGAATTTTAGAATTTAATTTTTTTCTTGTGATTTTTTTTTTTCTAGGTACAGAAATAGTAAAGCCATATACACCTGTATCTGGTTCCTTATTCTCAGAGTTCAAGGAACCAGTTCTTCCCAACAATAAATACATCTACTTTTTGATAAAAATCTATCCCACTGGACTCTTCACACCAGAGCTTGATCGTCTTCAGATTGGTTAGTGTTTTTAAATTTTTTTAAACCTCATTTGTGCTGTAGGTTGGATCAGATTGCTCTCTAGTTATCTCCACATAGAAGCCTATCTTTAACTCAACATGTCTGCAACCAAAGTTATCTTCTCTTTGATCCACCCACTATGCCCATACTCCATATTCCCTGTTTTTATTATTTGCATCATCACTGTTCATCCTTGATCCCATCTGGAGACTCGAGTCAGCCTTGATTCTTCCCACTTTCTCTCTCCCAGTCCAGTCAGCCACTAAGTTCTGTTGAGGCTACATCTCAGTGACTTTTTCAGCTACCTCTTCTGTCACTGTATATAGTAAGCCTTCATTTCTTTGTTGGCTTCTAACTGTTTTGTCACCATTGAGCCTAGCTGCTTTGCAGCTTTGAAACTTCTGATGGGTCCCCATTACCTATACCGCATGGCCTACGTACACTTTGATAATCTCTCCAGCTTTATCTCTTGCTATACAAAAATATTTGTGCTACTCACAGTTTCACAGGTTTGTTATCCTCATTCACAGGTATATGCAGTTTCCACACCCAAGATGCCCATCAACCCTTTATCAAGTGCTTTTTTAAAAAGACCCGACATCAACTGGGTGCAGTGGCTCACGCCTGTAATCCCAACACTTTGGGAGGCCAAAGTGGGCAGATCACTTGAGGTTGAGAGTTCGAGACTAGCCTGGCCAACATGGGGAAAACCTCATTTCTACTAAAAATACAAAAATTAGCCAGGCCTGGTGGTGGGCGCCTATAATCCCAGCTTTGTGGGAGGCTGAGACAGAATTGCTTAAATCCAGGAAGCAGAGGTTGCAGTGAGCCGAGATCACACGACTGCACTCCAGCCTGGGCAGAGCAAGACTCTGTCTCAACATAATAATGGTAAAAATAAAAATAAAAAGACTCAAACATATTATCACTTTATGGAGCCCTCCTCCTCCCCTGAAACTCCCAATAACTAACAGTTTGTTCGTAGCTCTATTGTAAGAGTAAATATATTCCTTCATTCCTAGACTTTGAGTTTAAGAGCAGAAATTGGCTTTACTTATCTTTATATTTTCAACATCTGACAAGGCAGTTGGCACATAATAGGCTGTCAGTAAATGTACTTTGTTTTTTTGTTTGTTTATTTTGTTTTCGAGACTGCTCTGCCACCCAGGCTGGAGTGCAGTTGCTTGATCTCAGCTCACTGCAACCTCTGTCTCCTGGGTTCAAGTGATTCTCCTGTCTCAGCCTCCCAAGTAGCCAGGACTATAGGCGCACACTACCATGCCAGCTAATATTTGTATTTTTAGTAGAGATGAGGTTTCACTGTGTTGGCCAGTCTGGTCTTGAACTCCTAACCTTAGGTGGTTGGCCCACCTCGGCCTCCCAAAGTGCTGGGATCACAGGTCTGAGCCACTGTGCCCAGCCAGTAAATGTACTTTGCAAGAATGAATACAGAACTATAATGAAATCTATTAAAATTAAAAAACCTCTTTTCTTGCTTCTGCTCCCAAGGTGTCTTTTACTCCTTTTTTTGTATTTTCTTTTCTCTTTCCTTGGAAAGTGTTCCTCTTTCCAAGGCAGCATTAGCAGTATATAGAGGTGCCAGTGAAGTGGATCACTAAAATTTGGAAATCAACAAAATTACATTACTTTCTGAAATGTAGTAATAGATATGATTCTGCTAATTTTATCTACTTCACATAGTAGATATGATTAGTCATCATTGGTTACATAAACCAAAATATTGTATATGAATTTGAACCTGAAGTATTTTGGAGTACTTACAAATCTAGTGAAGAGATAACTATCACCTTATGAAAGAAGGACTAACATGATTGTAATACAGTGAGTGGAAAGTTAAGGAATGGTATTGTAGCCTATTTACGGAGATTTTTGTGAACGTAGCAGGGTGGACAATTGTCCTAGAGTGTAGAAAGTGAAAGCTCAAAGAATGAGATGAAGTGTTATTTCAACTTCATTTAGGGAGGCTACACATGGCACAAATACTTGTGTCACTTAGAGAGTTGTACACTAAATGAATGACCGCATATACTTATCCATCTCTTTATTTCAATCCCATGTTCACTAAGCAGCATGATTTTGCATGATTAATTTGGCTTTTCAAGTGTCCTGATACTGAAAACAAGGTATCCATGCATGTTCAAGTCACTAGATACAAAGTCACTTTATACCCCAGCTATCAATCAAAGTATATTGCCATTCTGGCATGTGTGCTATAACCTCTTCTGAATTTGATTAGCATCAGTTATCCTACCAGAGTCTAATCAATTTTGTTAACATTGGAAAGACTAGGCTGTGGGTAAAACTTACCAAGTTAATACTATCATCTGATACTTCTTTAGTAAACTACTACCTGGCTTTTTCCTAAGGACACTCTGATCTCATGGTCTTTTGCAAATTATAACAAGAAGCTTCTATTATTTTCAAATACTTATTTCATCAATTACTGCAAGATTCTTACTATTCTTACTGCAATGGAAAACAAACAGTTGTGAGCACCCAAGCATTTTAAAATAGGATAAATCATTTATAGACAGCTTTATTTTTCATTTTAAGATTACGTTTCAAGTTTCTTAATCCAGTTGTAAAGGCGATTTTCTTATATAATGGTACATGGTGATTATATCAACTGGACTGTAGAAAATGGGCACTGACTTCTCAACTGTGATGATTCTAGATTGGAAAGTAGCATACTCCAAGTACAGTTGACTGCATTTCTGATCTTGCTTTGTTTTTATGGGAATTAAAATCAGAACAGCCCTTCTAAATTAATAGGTCTTTTTAAAAATTTGGTAGAAGAGAAGTTGATGTGTTTATCAATGTAAGTTTTTAGAATATATTTCTATTTCAATTTTCTCTCCTACTAATCCTGTTACTATGGTTAAGAATCATATGTAAATAGTGAATATCTATTCTTTGCTCTTTACCATGCAAGACAGATATATATGTACTCTGCTTTTGAAGTACTTAAAATTTAGTTTAGCAATCAATCATTTATTGATAATTTGTGGATAAGTGCTTCGCAGTAGTTTGTAAATTTCAGACTTCAGATGGTTTGGGAAAATAGTGGTGGGAAATTATATCATAAAACCTCATTATTAATTTGATTATAATTCAGATGTACTTGGGGGCCTAATGAGTATCCTTAAGACTACTTAAAGACTGATACAGAGTCTGCAAGTTAAGTATGTATATTGTTACTCCTCAGTGTTGTAAATTCAGGTAATTTTGGCTTCTTAGTTTCTCTGCTGGGTTTTTTGTTTTGTTTTTGTTTTTTTTCTAATGTAGTTTATATTTCATTGTTTAGGAGATTTTGTTTCTGTGAGCAGTCCTGAGGGCACTTTTAAAATATCCGAGTTCAAAGAATTAGAAGATCTCTTTTTGTTGGCAGCTGGAACAGGCTTCACACCAATGGTTAAAATACTGAATTATGCTTTGACTGATATACCCACTCTCAGGTATGTACTTTTGTCTCTAATTTTCCTTTTTGAGGCTGTTACATTAGTATAAGGTATTCTAAATTGATTACTTGCTGGATCTTAATAGACATATTCCCATTTCCTCATTCATCATTTCTTACTTTCCCTCCTCTAATCCTAGCTATTTAGGTTCTTTTATCTCATTTCAGTATTTGATGATTTTAGTTACCTACTGGGCACTAAAACATTCACACTGGTTCACTTCAGACTTTCCATTTCTCATATTTTAAATGTAATTAATTAGTTCTTTCTGAGTTTTTTTTTTTTTTTCTTTTAAGGAAAGTGAAGCTGATGTTCTTCAATAAAACAGAGGATGATATAATTTGGAGAAGCCAGTTGGAGAAATTAGCAATTAAAGATAAAAGGTATTAAACTGTTATTAACTCTGCATTTAGTTAGTTATACCTATGTAGGAAGTCTAGGCCTGGGGACTAGGGGAGGGACAGCTCAGGGTGGGGAGTTGTAGGGGGATAACATGGGGAGAAATGCCAGATCTAGGTGACAGGGATGGAGGCAGCAAACCACATTGCCATATATGTACCTATGCAACAATTCTTCATGTTCTGCACATGTACCCCAGAACTTAAAGTGCATTTAAATTTAATTTAATTTAATTTAAAAGTCTAGACCTTATCTTTTCTGGTTGGAGTTTTGATTAGCCAGGAAGCTTCTTCAAAGAAAAAAAAAAAAAACACAGTAATTCTCTAACTGTAAATCATATCAAATGTTCTTCTTCTCTCAAAGAAACACTTTCTGGTAAAATCTAGGCAACCTTATATATGTGTCATTAACATGCATTGCATATTGGGCTTTATGATCATATTATATGATTTATGGTGAGTTGGGTTTCACTGACCAATAGAGTGAAGACCAGCCTGACCAATACGGTGAAACCTTGTCTTAAAAAAAAAAAAAAAGAAAAGAAAAAAAAGAATTTTTGTAAAAAAATTTTTTAAAAGAGTGGACATTGTACTAATAGGACTTCAACTTAATTTATAAATTAATTGGTAAAAAGGAATGTATTGACAGTCTCTGAACTTAAAGTATCTTTAACAAAGTCAACTGTGTTATTTGTTTTTGGTTTTTTTTTTTTTTGATTACATAATTTGGGTTTGTGAAATTGCATAGGCTGCAGTTTTGAGGATGAGGAAAGGTTGCTTTTTTTCCACTTCTGGATACCTGGCTCTAACAGCACTCACCAGGTGAGTGGTACTATCTAGCTTGCTGAGAGAAGTGATAGTGTTCCAACTTCCAGCCTGCCTTTATCTTCCCTCTACTGTTCCTTCTCTTTCTCTTCTTGCTCTCCCTTGCTGGCTGGTGTGTGCTCTTTCTCTCTCCTCCCTAACCTCTTTCTGGAGACTTTGCTCTCCTTGCTTGAGACACTCTGGAGGCACTGACTCCTAGTATTGTGTGATTTATGATCCCCATAGACTCATGGCGTTTTTTTTTTTTGTTTGGTTGGTTTTTTTTTTTTTTTTTTTTTTGGAGTGAGGTTAGGTCAAGCCCTTAAAGGCTTATTGATGGGATTTGGTAGTTCTAGTCAGCCAACACATAATTATTGTGTTCCCTACAAACTAGGAAAGTGAAAGTTAACATTTAAGTTGGGGTTAATTTTAATTAGTCACAATTGTCTTTTAGTTAGCATTTAAGGCTCTTTGTTTTTTAATGTAGTAAATCACTCTTTCCCACATCTTGACCCTCCTATATCACTTCTAGTTTTAGTAATAAAGTTCCTGATGACAAAATAAGTTACTGGAACACATTTCTGTGGTTAAATTATTATTGAACTGTAAATATAAAAAAATATATAGTTAAGAGAAATACCCTAATCTCTATATGATTAAGTCCTAGTCTTCTACTCCATCCTTTGTGGAACAAGGAGAGGGATAGGAATTATGGATTCTGAGGCTGATATATGATCGAATATTTTCTGCAAGCATGCTGTGCTTGTCCTCAGAGTTTATCTAGATTATATCATTAGCAAATGTAATTCTTCAAAATAAAATTGTGTAATGGAAAGTTATTAATCTCTTGACCTTGGGCAAATCAGTTTATCTGGCTAAGCCTCAGTTTTTCCATCTATAAAACAAACATTAATACCTACACCACAGAATCATTTGTACATGGGAATCAATGAGTTAGCCTATGTAGGTGCCTAGCCCAGAATTAGTATGTTTGTAGCAGATTCACTCATTCACTCATGAAATATGTGTAACTTCTATTATGTGCCCGTACACATGGATCCAACAATAAGAAGACACTGTGTTTGGTTATTTTCTCATGCAGCCCAGGGAATGCGTCTCTTCATTTTCTTTAATTACAGCTCTCAGTAGAGTTGCAAAAATACAGATACTTCATAAATAATTTTTAGAGTATTACTCTTTTATTTCAATCTCATTTTCATGTCATTAAGTATGAAATCTGAACAGAAAAGTTTACCCCAATTTTATCCTTACAAATGTGTTATTACACTTGACTGTTCTAGCAGTTGGGATTCAATTCACAACATTCCAAGTCTAGCAAAATTTTACACATTTTTTTCTTCTGCAAAATGAGAGAAAGAAGGCAAGTATGTGCAGTAGCAGATTTAATTATGTAAACTGAAATTCAAAATAAATGCCACTTATCCTTCTCTCAAATACGTGAGCAGTGTTATGAGGCTCAGTTCATTCAGTACACATTGCCCCTCACCCCTCCCTCCTATCAGCAGAATGCCCTAGCTCTGTGAGATCTCTGCTTTGTAGAATTAGTTTTGTGGGATGGGACAGGTGGGACAGTTTGACAATGAGGCTGACTTCTAGAAAACATTTTCTGGTATATAAATATAACAGGCATTTTCCTTTCATTTCAAATCAATCATTCTTAGAGACCATTAACCTTGTTTTAGTAAAGGTAGTAGAACATTCTTTTTATAAACAGCATTTGTTGATTTTCCCTTCTGTCTATAAAGTTAATACATGTTTATATAGAAAAGGTGTAAGAAAAAAATCACCCATAATCCTACCACCCAAAGAACAATTATTAGCATTATGGTCTGTATCTTTCTATTCATATACATATCTACCTTTTGATTTTACATATTTAAAATAAAGTAGTCATACTCACTATCCTTTTAACTACATTCCTACTTATTGTGTTGTGTATTTTTTACATAAAGAGTATTTTCAGCAGGTGGTTTTCAACCTAGAACAGCTCTGCCACCCCAGAAATATTTATGTCTGGAGACATTTTTGATTGTTACAACTGGGGAAAAAGGAGTTACTACACCTAGCTGGTAGAGGCCAGGAATGCTACAAAGTGTCTTACAATGCTCAGGATAGCCCCCTACAACAAATAATTATCCAGCCCGAAGTGCTAGTAGTGCCAGTTAGTAAATCCTGCAATATGCTGTGATTTTTAATAACTTCATTGTGTTCAGTCATGTGAGCATACCACAATTTATTTAGCCAATTCCATACTGTTTGACATAGTGACTAAAAATTGTTCCGTACCTTTCTAACCATTCAGAATAAAAATATATCAGAAGAATCATTAGGTCAAAGTGTTCTAAGGCTGTTGATACATTTTATTATTATTACTATACTTTAAGTTCGGGGATACATGTCCAGAATGTGCAGGTTTGTTATATACATATACGTGTGCCATGGTGGTTTGCTGCACCCGTCAACCCATCGTCTACATTAGGTATTTCTCCTAATGCTATCCCTCCACTTGCCCCCCAAACCCCTACAGGCCCCAGTGAGTGATGTTCCCCTCCTTGTGTCCATGTGTTCTCATTGATCAACTCCCACTTATCAGTGAGAACATGCGGTGGTTGGTTTTCTGTTCCTGTGTTAGTTTGCTGAGAACGATAGTTTCTAGCTTCATCTATGTCCCTGCAAAGGAAATGAATGCATTCTTTTTTATGGCTGCATAGTATTCCTTGGTGTATATGTGCCACATTTTCTTTATCTAGTCTGTCATTGATGGGCATTTGGATTGGTTCCAAGTCTTTGCTATTGTGAGTAGTGCTGCAATAAACATACATGGGCATGTGTCTTACAGTAGAATGATATATAATCCTTTGATTACATACCCAGTAATGGTATTGCTCAGGTCAAATTGTATTTCTGGTTCTAGATCCTTGAGGAATCGCCACACTGTCTTCCACAGTGGTTGAAGTAATTTCCACTCCCACTAACAGTGTAAAAGCATTCCTATTTCTCCATATCTTCTCCAGCATCTGTTATATTTTGACACATAGCCTCTGAAAGTGAAATCACTTAACAGAGAATACTGCATCCAGCACACTATCATTGACAGTGACATTAATACTGACAATGTTATTAACAGTGATATTGTTAGTGTCATTATTTTTACAGTAGATTGGAATGAGAGGTTAGTTGAGGCAAAAGAGAGAGAGGAAAGAAAGGGATTCTAAGCAGCAGGGAAATGAGTCACAAAGGAAAGGGGACTATTTACTGACTTATATGCACCAACAGAAGATAAAAGACCATTTATATCACTTTAAACATTTGTGTGCTATCTGCAAAATGTGCTTGACATTACAAAAATATAAGAAATCAGACTATCCTACTGGTGGTGAAGTTCTGAAGTATATCAGTAACTGTAAAGTCTGTGCCTTGAGAGGAACAAAAAACATGCCATAGATGTCTAGTGAAAAGAGTGATTCCATTGCTGTGAGTGTAAGAGTATCAGAGCTTTGTGGAAGAAGGGATTTTTGAGCGGGGCTTTGGGAAATGGCTAGCATTTCTTTGAGCGGGAAAATAAATTTGATTAGTAGGATTGCATGAGTAAAGACATGAGAGCCATTTTGTTGAAATAAATGCTGTGTGTGAAGGAGGATGATGCAGAATAACTAAAAATAAACCCATCAAACTTTGTATCAGTTTTAGAAGGAATCTTAATAGTTATTTCTATTCCTTTTTGTTTACACTTGAAGAAACAAGGTAGGCTAAAATCAGGTGATGAAAGACCTTGAATGTAATTCATATGTGAAGTAAATAGGAAGAAGGCACAGTGACACTCTAGCTCATCTCCCTTTATTGCTGACAGGCTCCCTAGACTATATGTTTTTGTCTTCTGATGTCGATAGTGGGACTAGCAATGTGGCAGTTCCATTTAAGATAGCAAAAGCCGATGATGCCAGAAGCAGAAATAAATTGAACAGTATGCCTGAACCTGTTGCTTTTTCCCCAGCCTCTTATGCACACAGATATGCAGCCCGCTAATCTGGACCCTTACAGCACTTTCTGTTTTTTCCAGAGATGTTCTTCGGTGTTATGTTGCTCGGAATGTGTTCTTTGAAATGTTAATGTGTTTCCCTGAATGGACTCTATGATTGAATAAATTTGGGAAATAGTATATTTCTTCTTGAGGATTTACTCTGAACTTAGCATGTTTAAGGCTTTCTGATATTCTAATGAAATATATTTAACTTTTTTAAATCCACTATGTCACAGACTTATTTGCTAGTTAGCCTGCTTTCATGGAATAACTACTAACATCTGGAGGCATACTGGTGTTTCATTAGATTCATTTTGAGAAATATTTCCAGAATTATGTATGTGTTATCTAATTTTGACTCCTAGTTTTGTGAGCGTTTTTGTCTGTGAGCACATAGCAACTTTTACTACAGTTGCAGGCATTTTCTTTAGCTAGAAAATAAAGAAGGAAAAGCTGAGGCCCAAGTACTCTGAAATACTAATCTGTGAACAGTGAGGAATCACTGAAGCTTTTAAGCAAAAATGTTGCAAAGTTGTAGCAGAGTTTTTAGGGGAACTAATATGGCAGTGGCATATCATATAGATTAAGGGTTAAGGCTATTAATGTAATTTTTTAGACAAGAGATATAAGAGCCGGATCTGGAGTTTTAACAGTAAAAATGGGCAGGTAAGGGACTTTGTGAGAAATATGAAGGAGATAAGTTGCGGAAGCTGATTGGCTAGAGGAGGAGGAACTAAGTCGTTGGATGACTGCTAATAATTTAGATTAAATGAGTACATTTGTATTTCAAGACTTGTCATCTCAGATCACTATCAGCCTACTTTAAAATAAATTTTTTGACAAGCTTATTTACCTATATTTACATTTGAGATCGCATTCATCAGAAGTAGGTCTATTCTCTCCCTCTTTCATGTTATTTTGCATTTTATGGGTTATCTGAATTTATTTTCAGGTAACCTTTTCAAGAGTCCTAATGCTTTCTGGCACTTTTGAAATCATAGAGGACTTTCAGGATGTTTACCGTGTGCCCCCACATGTCTCCAGCATCTCAAAGTTGCAATTATTTTAGACAGTATGTTGACCTTCATTCAGAAAACCCAGGAGAGAGGATTCCACAGGAACTATCTATATTTTGATATAAAAAATATTTCATTAAATAATTATTGATTCTTAACTTGTGAATGCTCCTGTTCCAATTTAAGCTCTTTCTCAGCCTGCGAAAAAGGAGATAAGCAGGATAACAGCCTCTTTACAGATCCTTAAATTGCAGCCACGCTTTCTGTTCATCTTTTCCATTGAGTGCATAAAATTATAGTCAGGGGACCCTTATGTGAATAAATACAAAATGCATAAGAAGTTTATACCATTTATTTAAGGATCTGTTATTTATCACCATTTAGTAGATACCTGCAGAAAATGTACCACTGATTAGGCTTTTTTATAAAGCATCCCAGTAAAGGGAAATTATGACTAGGTGCTTATGGCAGATACAGAGACTTTAGCTTTAATTTAGCAATTTATTCCAGTGATAGGCTCATTTCAAATAGAGCCACAGGAGACCATCTTTTATCTTTTAATTTAACAAGACAATTTCCACATTTTATTCAAATATCTATGTGTAATTGGAAATTTATGACACTGGTTTTATGGCTGCTTTTGGCCTTTTGATCTGATGAAAGATCATGGATCTTTTTTCCAGAAAAATACACATATGAATTCATATCATTTTTATATGCAATTTTATGGATGCCAGCATACGGCTTTGTTCTTTTAAGTACAATTTTTATTTTTAGCCAACATGGCCTCTTTGTAAATCATTTCTTTATTCAACAAGCATTTTTTTGTGTGCTTAATTGAACAAGGCCTGGATACAGTATTGAACAAGAGAGACAAGGACCCTGCCCTCATGAAACAGTGAGCAAATGTAACATCCTGAAGTTATTTAAAACTATCTTAGCTTTAAGTGCTCAGAAGGTAAAAATAGGTTAGTGAATATCTTTGGGGAGGCTGTTTTGTGCATTAGCCTTTAGGGAGGCTATAGAGTGGATTAGCATTGCTACTAATACTAAATGGGAAGCTTGAAGATAAGAAAACATAATTCTGTAGGTGTTTTAATATAAAATCATAGAACATTAGAATTGTAAGATATTACTTATTTCCCAGCCTCATTCCACAAATGGACAAGCCCTAGAGGCTAGAGAGTGTGTGCAGAGCTGAGGCTGGCTCTCTAGCCTCCTGCTCGTTCTCTGATTTGGTCTGTATTGCTTGTGCCAGGCTTCTTTGTTCTTAGGAAACTTAATCCAGCTGAGGCACAGCAACGTGAGGGCAACTGTACCAGCCATACCTTGTTTCTGTTTCAATATTTAGTTCCCTTGTCCCTCACAAGAGAAGCTGTTCACTTCAGCTTTTTCATGTGGTTTAAATTAACGTATCATGAAATCCCACCACTCACTTACTCACTGGAACATGTAGAAATGCTTTTGATCTGATCTATTGAAATGGTAAGAATTAATTGTTTGCTTAAATAGAGCAGACAGAGCAGGTACAACATAGAATTTTGAATTTACCATGGCTTTTCACCAGCAATTTTTGTAATAGATTACTAAGCCTGTGGGAAGAAATGGTCTGTTGTTTCATTGCGAGACTTCGATGTTCTTCTTTCCCATTTTAATCCTTTACCCTTTTGCTTTCATCTATTTCATTCCATAGTGTATGGGTGCCTTCTGTGTGTTGGCGTCTAGAGATACAGTGATAACCAAAGCAGACATGGCTCTTGTTCTCATGGAGTTTAGGGTCTATTGGAGAAGGTAGACAATAGGTGATCGGCTTAGTAACCACTTATTTACAACCTGAAGTAAATAGCATGAAGAAAAGGAAAAGGAAAACATTGCTACAGCACATGAAACGAAGGCCTCAGCCTTGTGGAGGTGCAGAACTTGCATGTGGGAATGATGCTTGAGCTGAAAACTGAAGGGTGGGAGTGGTAAACCCATTACAGAAAGAAGAAACAGAACAGGCAGTGTTATGGCAGTGAAGTCTGAGAGGTAAACAGAGTGAGAGCTAGGACTTGGTGTTGAATTGGATATGGAGGGTGAGATAGAGGTTCCCAGGATAAATCCCAGGTGTCTGGCTTGTACAGCCAAACAGACTGTGGCGCCAGTTACAGAGATCATGAAGTTGAGAGCCTTTGAGACAGCGACAGTAAGAAGTCAAATAGGCTTCTCAATCAAACTGATTTTAAGGGTCTGGAAATCACTGGAGAGGTTTGAGCCAGAGATTAAAATGCGTGTGTCACTGGTAATTGCTATTTACTGTGATTTATACCAGCATATTATTATTGTTTACTTTGGGTTCGGGGGTACATGTGCAGATTTGTTTCAAGGGTATAATATTGTGTGATGCTGAAATTTGGGTTTCTGTTAATCCTGTCACCTACACAGTGAACATAGTAACCAACAGGAGGTTTTCCAGCTCTCCCCATTTCCCTACACCTCCCTGCTTTTGGAGTCCCCAGTGTCTGTTGTTCTCATTTTTATGTTCTTGTATACACAGAGTTTAGCTCCTACTTATAAGTGAGAACATGCAATATTTGTTCTTTTTTTCCAAAACCAGCAGATTATTAGTAGAAATGTGGAGTTCTCTGAGATCCCTGGGAATATCTATTTCATTTAAATATTTATTTATTTATTTATTTTTGAGATGGAGTCTCACCTTGTTGCCCAGGCTGGAGTGCAATGGCACAATCTCAGCTTACTGCAACCTCCACCTCCCAGATTCATTCTCCTGCCTCAGTTTCCCAAGTAGCTGGGATTACAGGCTCATGCTATTATGCCCGGCTAATTTTTTGTATCTTTAGTAGAGACGGGGTTTCACCACGTTGGCCAGACTGGTCTTGAACTCATGACCTCATGATCTGCCCACCTTGGCCTGCCAAAGTGCTAGGATTACAGGCATGAGCCACCGTGCCCAACCAAATTAATTTTTTTTTAAGAGACAAGTTCTTGCTTGGCTGCCCAGGCTGGTGCAGTCATAGCTCACTGCAGCCTTGAACTCTTGGACTCAGACGATCCTCCTGCCTCAGCCTCCCAAATAGTTAGGACCACAGGCACATGCCACCACACCTGGCTAAGTTTTAACAATTTGTGTGTGTGTGTGTGTGTGGAAACTGGGTCTCACTGTGTTGCCCAGGCTGGTCTCAAACTCCTTTTCTCAAATACTCTTCCTGCCTTGGCCTCCCAGTGTGCTGGGATTACAGGTGTGAGCTACCATGCTTGGCCTCAGCTCTTTTTAATTAGTTCAATTTTTTGAAATGCCAAATTACATTCCTTATCTACAGGAAAAAATAATCCCTAGTAAATATAGATTTACCTATATGTTTTTGTTAAGTCTTATAAATGTTTTTCAAGTGGTTTTCTAGCCAGTATGTCAGTCTTTATATATTAAATTGTTCTTTTAGGGGAGAATTATATTCTTGAACTTGAAAGATGTTAATAATTCGTTTAAAATAATAAACTTTAAAAAACTGTTTTTCTTTTCCTTAGGCTGGATGTTGAATTTGTTCTCTCAGCACCTACTTCTGAATGGAATGGCAAACAGGGACATATTTCACCAGCTCTTCTTTCTGAATTTTTGAAAAGAAATTTGGACAAATCCAAAGTACTTGTCTGCATTTGTGGACCAGCGCCATTTACAGAACAAGGAATAAGGTGAGTAGCAGCGTAGTAGGAAACAGACTGCCCAACACTGAAACGAAGATCTTTCATAACAAGCATCTCTCAGTTCTTCCTATTTATATGAACTGTACTTTAATAATCTTACAGTTTTAGAAAATAACTAAGTCTTTAAATCTTCATATAGTTTAAGAGTTGGAGGTCAGAATTATGCATACTGTTAGATATTAATACAAAAATAGGACACAGCCAGCAATTGGTGTTCTCTGCTGATGGCTCCCATATGATATACTCACAGGATTGGTGCCACAGTCTTATTTGGGACATTAGGCCCAACCTCTTCTTCCATTAAAGCTTTATAATAGTAATTAATAAGCAATGTTCACCTCATTGTAGCTTTTGCTCTTCTCTGTAACTGAGTGAAAATTAGTAAATACTAGATATGCAATCAGAAGCCACACAGCAAGACAAAAAGGGGAGACTAGAACACAAATAAGGCAAGACTAATAGTTGAAGCGAAACCTGGATAATGCAAAATCAGTGGTAGTGGTGATCCTGTTTGAAACTCAACTTGATGTGATTTAGCTTTAAAACGGCACTTGAAAATGTTTGGTTAAATATAGCCCCTATTGGATTTCTAGATGATTTTAAAATATGGCTGCTTTAAGTGTCCTATTCTTATTTAGTTTGTGACTAAACCTAACATTTCTAGATGTCAGCTAAAGGAGTCAGACTCTGTAATCTGAAGAGATTTATTCTGAGCTGTTAAAACGCGCACTTTGAATGAAGAAACCCCCCAAACAGGCTTTGTGTGAGCAACATGGCTGTTTATTCACCTGGGTGCAGGTGGTCTAAGGCCGAAAAGGGCGTTAGCGAAAGGCAGTCGGATAGAAGTTGCTTTCATAGATTTGGGGTGGGCAGTGGAAACTTACAGAGTAAGATTAGTTACAGTGGTGGGGTTAGGGGTAAGGAATATACATTACCATAAGTTCAGTTACAATGGCGGGTGGGGTAAGTAGTTAAGATGGTAGGGTGGGATGGAGAATATTCACATTATCATAATAACAGTTAAGATGGCAGGGTGGGGTGAGCCATCTTAACCGGCTCCTCTGGGCTATCAGGGATAATGGCAAACACAGGTGAGGGGGTGAGGGGGTGAGGGGGTGATCAGCCGAGGCAGACAGGACTTCAGACTTTCTGAGTCTGGGCTTGCACATGGAGGCCTGACATACCTGTCTTTTTATAGAGAGAGAGAAAGAATTAGAGAAGAGGGGGTGATAACAGGTTTTGGGGCATGGGGGCAAAGATTTTCAAGGCTACTTTGTGTGTGATTGAGGGCAGCGCAGAAACCTAAAATTGGGAAAGAATTTAGACGCTAGGAGATCTCAGGGAAAGGGGTGATATTGTGGGCTTCTTAGAAGGAGCATTTGTTGTATTGACTGATTGGGTTATTGCTTATATACAATTTTGTAGGAATTGAGAGATTCATTGGAAAAACCCAATGTCGAAATAAGAGAAGGAGATAGTATTAGAGGACTAAGAATCAGAAGAAGCCATGACTCCCAGTTAGAGAGTGTCCAGCCAGTCCAGCCAGGTCCAGAATAACCATTTGCCGGACTAGTGAGCTTTCAGGCTTTGTTTTTTAATTTATCGATAGCGTTACATACAAGGCCAGGCTGATTTACATAAAAACAACATTCTTCATTTAGGAATAGGCAAAGACCTTTTTTAGCAGTCAGTAAATTAAGACCTCAGCGGTTTTGAAGGACAACTGCAGCTAGGGAATTTACTGGAGTTCGAAGGAGGGATAATAATTGAATTAATTCTCCAATGCTAGCAGAGAAATTATTAGGTTACGGAAGGTGCCAACTGAAGTGGAAATGCCTGTGCCGAGTGCAGTAGTAATTCTTAACCCTACAAGTAAGGGCATTAATGGAATGACCCGCTTGTGTTGTGTCTGGACCACCAAGGGAACAGGGAGGCTTTTATCCCCGTTGGCAACCTGAATTTTGGGAGTAAGGAAAACTAGGGTACAAGTGCCTGTCCAGTTGGTAGGAAGGCAGATGTAAGAAGAAGAACCACAGAGGAAAAAAAAAAAGTTTCTTGGCTTAGACAGAACTGAAAGTGTAAACTGAAAAGGTGAGAAAGTGTTCTGAGGGGGCTGGCGATTTGGACCTGAATGCCAAGGGAACCAGCAAGGGCTGCAGCTGTTAAAGGTCGTAGCGGGGCTTGGTAGAGTAACTGTAGAGGGAGAGCTTTTGTTTTCATGGTGTATGAGGAAGTGCGTGGTATGTATAAGCAACCACTCACTTTTATTAACAAGATTGGGTATGAGCAGAGAATGGGAGCCAGATTAAGAGTGAAGTATTAGCTGTAATTACCTGGAGGAAATGTGTAAACCAGCAACTTAAAAGCAGGGCATGTACAAGTAAATGAGTACAGTTAGACAGAAAATGATAGAAACAGAGACTTTTTGAGGTATGATTTAAGTAGTAGGGGCAACTGCATAAAGCTGGAGAAGGTGAGAGGCTGAAAGTAAGTGTGTGAAGTGTAAAGAGACAACTTTGGAGGTTGGGAGAGCTATAGAGGGTAAGCGGGACACGGCCTGTGGTTTTGAGGGATTTTTGTTTTGTTTTGTTTTGTTTTGAGGTGGAGTTTTGCTCTTGTTACCCAGGCTAGAGTGCAATGGCACGATCTCGGCTCACCGCAACCTCCACGTCCTGGGTTCAGGCAATTCTCCTGCCTCAGCCTCCTGAGTAGCTGGGACTACAGGTGTGCGCCACCATGCCCATCTAATTTTTTTGTATTTTTAGTAGAGATGGGGGTTTCACTGCGTTCACCAGGATGGTCTTGATCTCTTGACCTTGTGATCCACCTGCCTCGGCCTCCCAAAGTGCTGGGATTATAGGCGTGAGCCACCTTGCCCGGCCGGTTTTGAGGGATTTTAAGAGTATTAGAGCAACAGCTGCTGCCGTGTGTAGTTATGAGGGTCAGCCCAGGACTGTGAGGTTAAGTTGTTTGGATGAAAAGGCTACAAGCTGTGGGCCTGGCTCCTGTGTAAAAATTCTGACGGCACAGCCTTTTATTTCTGCTGTGTAGATAGAGAATGGTTGAGAGGAGTTGGAGAGCGCTAGTGCAGGGGCTGTCTCTAAGGCCTTCTTTAGCGACCAAAAGGAAGAATGGGGGAAACATTTTTGGTTTATGGAGTTAGCTAAGTTTCCATTCGTAGGTTCATACAGTGGTTTGGTTATGGGGCAAAAACCTGGCACTCAGAGGCGAAAGTATCCTATTTTCGAGGAAGGAGATAAGCTGTTGTTTAGTGGATGGGGTTGGGATTTGGGAAGTTAACTGGATACCGTTGGCAGGGAGAGTGTGTGTATGCTGGCGAAAGATTATAACAGATGGGGAAGAAATTTGGGCTTTAGAAAAAGCGTTTTTGAGGTTAAGAACAAAATAATGAGTTGTGGAAGCGGGTATGGAAGATAGGAGGGCATAGGGGTTTGGTACAATCAAGTGGATGGGAACTACAGTCTGATTGATGAGGCAGAGTTCTTGAACTAGTCTGTAGAGTTTGTCTGGTTTTTTTGGACAGCTAGGATAGGGGAGGAAATTTGGGCTTTGGAAGAGGATACGTGATACCCCTTGGAGTATAGGTGCTGAAGAAGCAGGAGGGTGAATTAAAAGGCTATGTTGCAACAGACTGGTGATAACAGGCTTTACACCTTTTAAAGCCTGTTGTGGGATGGGGTACTGAGGCTGGGCAGGGTAAGGGTGGTTAGGTTTTAAGGGGATAATGAGGGGTGAGTGACTTGTAGCAACGTATGGGAAGGTGGTGTTTTACACCCTAGGATTAAGGTTGGGGGACGTAAGGGGAGCATTGAGGGAGGTACGGGTTCAGAGAGGAGGGTGGCAGTGAGGTGTGGCTGTAGCCCAGGAATACTGAAGGAGGCAGACAATTTTGCTAGGATATCCCAGCCTAACAGGGGAACTGGGTAAGTGGGGATGATTAGGAAAGAATGTGGAAAGGAATGCTGGCCTAATTGACACCAGACCTGGGGAGTTTTGAGAGGCCTGAAGGCCTTGCCGTTAATTCCCACAACAGTAATGGAGGCCAAGGAGACAGGTCCTTGAAAAGGCTGTGTGGGGTGGGTGGCCTCCGTGTTGATTAAGAAGGGGATGGACTTACCCTCCACCGTAAGAGTTACCTGAAGTTTGATGTCTGTGATGGTCCAGGGGGCTTCCGAGATGCTTGGGCATTGTTAGTCTTCAGCCACCAAGCTGAGGATTGGAGCTTTAGGAGCTCTGGGAGCAGCGACGTGTCAGGCAGTTGACTTTCTGTGGGGACCCCTGCACAGACGGGGCAGGGCTTAGGAGAAGTCCCGGGCTGTGGGCATTCCTTGGCCCAGCGGCCAGGTTTCCGACACTTGAAGCAAGATCCGGGCGGGGCAGCCGGACAGCTGCAGTCCAGGTGCTTTGAGTCTTTGTGAGCTGACGGTATGGCTGGGGTTTGTTTTATGGCAGAGGCAAGCATCTGTAGTTCTGAAATGTGCTGCTGCCGGGCAGATTTTTCCCTATTATTGAACACCTTGAAGGTGAGGTTACTTAATTCCTGTTGTGGGGTTTGAGGGCCAGATTTTAATTTCTGTACCTTTGTAATGTTGGGGTTGATTGGGTGACAAAATGCATATTAAGCGTTTTTCAGGCAAGAGAGTAGAAGTAAGGATGACATTTAAGTCATTCCAGGTGAGATTAAAGGACTGGGTTAAGTATTGGAGGATTTGATGAAAAGGAGCCTAACCGGTGGCTGATTTGGGAAAGGTTGGATAAAGGGAAAGGAACGTGCACCCTAACTGTGCCTTTGGCTCCAGTCACCTTTCAAAGGGGGAAATTGTTGGGCGGGGGCAGAGGAGGTAGCTGAGGGACTAAACTGTAAGCTAGACCACGTATGAGGTGGGAAGGTGACAGGAGGGGCATAAGGAGGTGGGTTGTGGGCAGAGGAAGAGGAGGAAGGTTGGGGGTGGGGGTGGGGTTAGGTC